ATGAGACATTTTGAGCAAAAATGGAAAATAGTTGAACCTGTAGAGCATGTTTTCTTGTGTGTGTGTTTTGATGTATTTAAAGCTGCTTGTGCATGATCTAAATAATTTAGAGACTGAAGAAATGATCAATTGTCACTTAAATGCATTTGTTATTGAGGATAAACTGGATGCTGTTGCACTGATCCGTGTAGATAATGTGGTGTATTATAGACCTTACAATGGGCAGTTTTTAAATGACACTAATGAGAAAATGTAGATTGTCCAATATTGTAGTTTTGTATATCTTTATGCACTGTTTATTTGTGGTGTATCTGCTGTTTGAATACAAAGTATTTTTGAACACTTGTTTTGTTTTTGTTTTTTTTATGGGTAGAGTGTGTGTAGCTGTGAATACCTTCTAATTAATTGTAGCAGTAGAGATATCAGAGATTATTTATTGTAATCTGGCAGTATTGATGATTTGACTGACACTAGTGTTAGTGTTAGAAAATCAACACTATTCAGTGTTAAATTTTTAAACACCAGGGCTAGTGTAAAGTACTACCTACACTATTTGGTGTTAATTTTCTAACACTTAACACCAGTGTAGAATATTGTTGACACTGGTCAGTGTTGGTCAGTGTTAATCTTTAACTCTGTACAGTGTTAAAATAACACCAGGTCATTGTTAAAAATATAACACTTTGAAAAGTGTTAATTTAACACTCAAAAGAGTGGACACATATAGACACTTTTCTAGTGTTAAATCGCCAGTGTCAAATTAACACCGTGAGTGTTAAACTCACGGTGTTAATTTGACACTGGCGATTTTGCTGTATATATGTGTATATATACACTCAACAAAAATATAAACGCAACACCTTTGTTACTGCTCCCATTCCCCATGGGATGGACGTAGAGACCTAAAATTCATTCCAGATACACAATATAACCATCCCTCCCAAACAGTGGTCACAAATCAGTCCAAATGTGTGGTAGTGGGCACATCTGCTATATTGAGATAATCCATCCCACCTCACAGGTGTGCCACATCAGGATGCTGATCTGACATCATGAGTAGTGCACAGATGTACCTCAGACTGCCTACAACAAAAGGCCACCCTGGAATGTGCAGTTTTTTGCGCTATTTGGGGTCTGGGGACCCAGAACCGGTCAGTATCTGTGTGTACAATGTGTACAACCATTGGAGATGTGAGCAGGACAGATGGAACAATTGTTGGAAAAAGTGTGGACTTTATACCAGTTTTTAAATTGTGTTGATAGGCCACGTAAAACCAGAGTTATGATAAAAATATATGCAATGTTTGGTTTTCTTCCTGAATACTATCATTGTTTATTTTTACTGCGGGAAAAAACGGTAAAAATGGCATTTTATAAGGAAAGTGCTTGAAAGCACTCTCCGAGCAAAAACAACAACAAAAAAAGACAAAACACCCTTTCCTATTGGTCAAAAAATGTACCATGTCGACCAATCAAAAAATGATATGGCAACATGGCATGTAGTTGTTTAGGAAAGGGGGAAGTTTTAGGAGTTGCGGCAGCGTTTTGATATGTGAGAGATTTGTGACGTTTAGCGCAAATCTTTTGTAGTTAGTGTGTAGTGTAGTCAATAGTTTTGTTGTGGTTGTCACAACAATGAGACGACTACCGAATGTTCAGAGCGTTCTCACTCCCGAGGCGTAACATGTCGACGTTTTGTCACGTCCCGCGGCGTTCCTGGGGAACGCGAAAGGAGACCTTCGGCGTTCTTATGGTACGCGGCGGATTATGGCTGGAATCCAGTAAATGACACTCCCGCGGTAATAGACGTTCCAGCCCTGTATTCCAGCCCTAAACCTAACCTTATCCCTAGCCCTAACCATAACCTTATTCCTGACCTTAACCAGGACTTTAATGATGTTAAATAGCGTGTTTCTAAGCGATTTGAAGAAAAAGAGCGAACATGTGTAGATTCAGTCCAGACGGTTCTCATATGTCCTCTTTTTTCCGAGGTCGTCATTTAGGAACGTGGTGGGTAGCCGAAAACGTAATATGGTGACGATTTGTCACCTAGCGTAAAATGTTACGCTTTGGGAGTGAGAACGGGTTGGAATGTTACACGTGTTACAGGAGTGATACATCTCCTGTTCTCAGGCCTGCAGGTATCAGGCTGTTGTTCTCCTTTATCTCATAGTGGACATAAATTATTTTTTGGAGTGGCACAAATAATTTGTGTGGCATCAGATTTGATACAGAACATCTGATTGTTCTGTAAATAGTTTGAAATGTTTATTTTAAAAAAACGCCCTGGCTGCATTTTTAGGTAAACAGCTGCAAAAAAGTTGTTGTTTGCATAACTCAGTTACTTTTTTGAAGAAGTAACTATATAATTAATTGCCCAACATTGGTCATTATTTACTGTATTTTGCAGACAGAGAGTTACAGGACTCTCTCCCAGACCACACTCATACTCATAATACAAGTCGGAGCTTTATAAAATAAAATAAAAAGAAAGAAAGAAAAGAAAAGAAAGAAAGTTGTGTTTTCAAAATTGGAGTTCAAATTATTTTTTCTTCCACTAGTGTTAACATACTACACAGGTCATGAAAAGATTTTTTTTTAATTTTCATTGTAAGTGGGATAAAGCAGTTAATTAAAAGTAGTCTAACATAAATGCTGTAATTTGATTATTTTAATAAACCATGTAACTTGGATGGATTCGATGCAGGCATGACCACAGTGCACACGTCTGCTGTTGCTCACAGTGGTCCAAGGGACACATGAAAAATTAGAGGGAACATTGGTGCTCAGCTAAGATAAAATAATTATTGTGGGTGATTTGTGTGTGCAGGCAGGAGTGGTGGACCCAAAGTGCAGAGGCACAATGTAAACTCGAAACAGCTATAATGCTGAACTCAAAAAAGGTAACAAAACTGAGACTCCAAATAAACTCAGGCATGCAGACAGAACACACAGCATAGAAAACGGTAGATCGTGACAAGGACAAACTGAAACACAGGCAGGTTGCTGGACGGGCCCCTCGGACCCTCCAGCGGAGGCAGAAGGCTGGACGGGCCCCTCGAACCCTTCAGCGGAGACGAACAAAGGCTGGTGCGGTTCTCCAGAACCCCCGTGGGGCCCGTCGGACCCTCCAACGGGAACAGGCGGCTGAAGCGGTCCCTCGGACCCTCCAGCAGGGACAACAGGTGGTAGAAAAGATGATTGAGGAGAGGAGTGACGGTGGCATTGTTTCCTTCTGGATGAGGGAACAGGAACCGGTGGAGAAATAGAGACCTCCTGATCCTCTGACCACATGGCTGCCAGTAAAAAGGCAGGCAAACAGACAGGTGAACAAGGTCCCGGCTGGTGTGTGGAAGGCGAGGAAGTCCGTGGCAGCGTAGAGGCAGGTGGGGAGTGTATGTCGCACTGGGGCCGTGATGAGGAAGAGTTAGTGAAAGAGAGAGCGAGCTCACTAGCCCTGACTTGCTCTCTCCACGCAGCTATGGTGCTGCCGAGCTTTGTGTCCTTAGCGAACTGGCTAAGCCGGGGGTTATATCGAATGATGGCATCCACCGCACTCAGCCCAACTGCTATGGTCCTTAAATCTGGGAACTGGTCAATGCGGTCGAGCAGGCTCACCATCCGCTCCATCTCAGCGTTGTACTCCGAGGTGAAAATCTCTGCGGGGTCCATGTTCTGGTCGCGATCTTCTGTTATGAAGGCTGTGTGCAGGCAGGAATGGTGGACCCAAAGTGCAGATGTTCTGAGGCACAATGTAAACTCGAAACAGCTTTAATGCTGAACTCAAAAAAAGTAACAAAACTGAGACTCCAAATAAACTCAGGCAAGCAGACAGAACACACAGCATAGAAAACACAGACAAACTGAAACACAGGGCTTAAATACACAGAGGGAGCAATCAGGGAATGAGTAAC